TTCGGACATATGGGAACCCTACATAAGCATCTCATTGGTCAACAAAAGAACAGGATGCTGGACTAGATGGGCCACTGGTCAGTCTAGCAGGCCTATTCTTATGTTATTAAGAAAACAGTTGATGCTGAAATGCTTGGGTTTCCAACATAACATAATAGGATATGATAAAAACGTGGAATTTGGTGTCACACTATTACAAATGTTCTACTTGTGCAAATGTGCAGCTTTCCCGATGGAATGATCACGCTCTGTCCCTGTGCACTGCTTGGCAGGAGGTGTGCGAGTGCTCTTCCCAACCCTCCAAGCCAATTTTGTGGGGCACTGGGAGGGAAGAGGGAGGATGCCCTGTTGTACAAGCAGAAGTGCTTGTAGGGCTCCCTAGGTGACTCCTGCCCTATGTGCTCTGTGTATGGTTTTTAAAAAATCATTTTAATACAATTTTAGTGGAGGTTATGATTTTATGAAGATTATTTATTTTTGTTTGCAACTTTCATTTGTTTTTACTTTACCCCCTTCACATTTGGCCTATAAAGCCTTGCTTGTAAAAGTTACTGATGCTTACTCACTTCTGAGAAATGGAAGATAAAGGGGGGAAAGACAGTGCAGATGGGCAACAGACTGCTAGAGAGCCCAGGGCATGAGAATGTTAGTAGCCCTGGGAGACAATGCAAGCACATATTTCGTACCCTGAAGTAGCACACCATCTATAAATACATTTTGTATGTTGATAGACATGCACAGCTGAAATGAGTGTGTTTAAAAAATCATGATTTTTTTTATAAATGGAAGCAGTTTCCACTGTGAGTCCTCAGAGTTGAGAGACCAAATGAACTGGTCATGAAACAAGTGGTGATGGAGCTCAAATGTGGCAAGAATTTATGCCAGCTTCCCAGTTTTTCAGTCGGATGGAGGTTCTGAAAATGGAGGGCTTTACTTGCTTTATTGACTAATATTACACAAGCATCTATAGCCAAATGAAAACCTCTACTATAGTTACTGGGGTTGTGGGGAGAGAGACCTGACTCTTACTTTCCATAAAATTGCGCCCTCTTCTACTTCTGTCTGCTGCTTTTCTCTCAGAGCTGATTCAAGAAACTGAAAGAAAAGGTTGAGTGCCTTGGACTTTTGCTTCCCCCGTTTCTACAGTAACATATGAAGTGGTGCTTACAAATCTCGCTTCACATTTACAAGTGGAAGCAAGCAAACAAGCAAGCAAGCACATGACTCTTTGTGCTTCTGCTTCTCACATCTAACATTTGAACCATTCCAAGGACCAAACTAGATGTCTACTTCAACAGGACTGCTGCAAAAAAAGGAAGCTGTGTGTTTAAGCTCCCATTTTTATCAGCAGCTGCATTAGTGACCCTCTGACACAAAGAGAAGAACACATCCATGTCAGAGTCAGCATAGATTAGAAGATTTTGATGTGAGGTCACAATCTACTTACTGTAACAGCATACCCTCCAACTTTTCGGGAGGGTAAATCAGGACGCACACACCCTGCACCATGCGCCCCGCCCTGCCCCCCACCGCCTTAGTTTCTGTGGCTCGGGCCATGGCAACCTGAGGCCTACCTGCATGGCTAATCTCAATGACAACACTGTCCCCCCTCTGCTGCCACCGTGGCCTCTGCCTCGACACCACTGTGGCCACAGCCTTTGCTGTTGGCACCGTGGCCGTCACCATACTTCCGGAAGCTGGCGCCCACTCAGGCCTGAGGTTCCACATCCCTGATTTAAAGAATAGCAACGGATCTGGCAAATTCAGGAAATGGTTTTTAAAACCGTCATTTTGAACATTCCTGCAATTCTTGAATGGGCATGGGACCCACAAAGTTGTCCTCAGCATGTTGCCATCAACTTCAGGAAGGAGCAACAAAGCAATGAGCACTAGGCTCAAATGGCATAGTAAAGATGATAATTCAAAACTGTGAAACCACATCACATGAGGAGCAACTCATATGAAGTGGCATCCACATGAGATTGTCCACAATTTAGTTCCTCGGGTAACTGCTGGTGGGGAATTTTGCTAAATGTAAACAAAGTCTCTTTCTAGCTGGATCCTTGGAGATTTCTGTAAAGTTCCTATAACTGCTTAAATATTCTGATGTGTTCAAAAAATTCTGCCTGGGCAGCAGAATTTTACAAGGTTGGGGGGGGGAATCATATTCTGTTATGAAAGTAAGCACATTTTGTTTTTTTAAATTAAATGCCTCCAGCTGAATTCTCTCCATACAGTAATATAAAAATGTGATATTTTCAGATTTACATTAGTGAAAATGAAAGCACTTGAGTTTTCAGTCCTACTCAGAACTGCTCCTGCTTCTTTCCTGAGCAGGAATACCCTGCCTGCCAAGACACTGATTTTGTGGGTGGAGATAGAGTCAGCTTGTAAAATATGCTTGCTCTGTAACAGAATCCATTTCCTGCTAACTACAATATTGCAACACACCCACAAATAGAAACTAGCACTTCCTTAAGGCAGAGACTTTTACATGTAAGTACTGTATTGATATTTTCAAACACTGTCCTTAACGTCCTTGAAAGTAAAAGCTGAAAGAAACTGTGTTTTTCTACTCAAAACCAAAAGAACATTATCTTAAAACTTTTTTTTCCTGTTGCAATTGTTCTAAAGTTCCTCAAGTAGGGTTTGTTTTGAAATCAGATTTTTTTTTTAATCCACAGTGTTTATGGGGTTTTGCTGTTTGGCTATTTGACAGTCTAAATTCTGGAATGGGGAAATGTAAACAGTTCCACTTTATAACTACTGATGCAAAACTGCTTTAAACCAGGCCTCTGATTTATGAGAGAGTGTGGCAAAAAAGAACAAAAATGCTGCAATCTTGTGCATGCTTACTTTGAAGTAAATCTTACTGAACTCAGAGAGGCTTTCTTCTGAGCAAATTTGTATAGGAGAAGGCTGTGCAAAACGTTACAGCATATGCATTTAGAAGAATAACAAATTAAATCACCATCCTTGTAATAATGAATGCTGGTGAAGAACTCATATACATGATTTCACACTGGAACCAATTTTGCATGTTTCATTGTAGTTAGAGCCCACTGAATCCAACCTATAAATAAAATTACAACTGCTGCTATATGTGCAGGCTGAATCCAGAAATAATTTACTCAATTTCTCCACAGTAAATATACATAGGAGTGTAATCTAAGGAAGGATACAGACCAACCGTTAATATGTGAATTTTTGAAAGACTGAAGGTTTATTATTATTATTTTGTGGAAATTAAAGCACACACAGTAGTTGTAAAACATTTGAAATGCCACGTAGTTCTTCCCAACTTCCTCTAAAAGACAGAAGAGGCTGGTTAGCATAAGACTGCATAAACATGGGCAGAATTGCTCTTTGATAACACAGGGCAATGTGTCATGTACAGTAAGCCCACATTGAACTTGTGTACATTCAGATTTATGTGCTTGGCAAAAAAAAACTTTAAAATTTTGCTCTCAGTTTGTGTTTGGCTTTGTAGGCTGCAATCTGTACAGGCCTGCCCCAACACAGAATACCATATGAATTAGCGGTACCAAGAATTTTTTCACAGTAGTTTTTCTGTTGTGGTAACAGTACTTTTTCCAATGGGTAATGGGAACTAGTGCTATTGTATCTGTGGATTTCTTGGTTTGCCTCTTCATATGTTGGGGCCCAACACAGGGAGGAAAGATTAGCTATCCAGGCCAGCTGTGTATATATATTTGTACACTGTAAACGTCAGCACTATTCTTCAGCTGGAACTCACCAGAACTCAGTTCCAGCACCACTTAGGCGAGAACCATTGCCATTATAAGGGAACAAGGGAGGCATTCATGGTGAGTTCTGGCACCTCTTTCCAGGGCTAGAAAAATAGCAGTGGAAAATGTCATTTTGAACACACAAAATACACAGCAAGTAGATCGTTTGGTGGTAAGTTAATATTTTCCTGAACCCCACTTGGTTCCCCAACCATCCCTTAGTTCAGGGGTTGTCAACCTGGTCCCTACCACCCACTAGTGGGCATTTCAGGATTCTAGGTGGGCGGTAGGGGGTTCTACAGCACAAGCTGAATCCTCCTTCTATTGAGCACGGGTGGGCAGTAAGAAAATTTTACTATCAAGAAAGATGCATTAGGGGGCAGTAGGTATAAAAAGGTTGACTACCCCTGCCTTAGTTCATTTGCATGAAGTTGGGAAGCCAAGTCAAAGTACAGTGGTACCTCGGGTTAAGAACTTAATTTGTTCTGGAGGTCCATTCTTAACCTGAAACTGTTCTTAACATGAGGTAACACTTTAGCTAATGGGGCTTCCCACTGCCGCTGCTGCTGCACCACCACACGATTTCTGCTCTCATCCCAAAGCAAAGTTCTTAACCCAAGGTACTATTTCTGGGTTAGCGGAGTCTGTAACCTGAAGCGTATGTAACCCAAGGTACCACTGTATGGTCAAGAAAGAAGGTTGTAGCATGGAACAGCCCGGGGGAAAATAATGACTAGAAAATGAAGAGAATGAGGGATATAGGAGACATGAACTTGATGAGATGAAGGCAATCAAAAGGGGGCTTAGAAAAGTTTCTTAAATAAAAGGGACTGCATGTGGTAGAGAGTAGAGAGAAAGGGGACGACTGTAGCAATGGAGGATGCCAGGGAGTCTAAGCAAAAGCAACTAGAGTGCAATTTGTTGTATTGATTTCAACTAATCAACCAGTGTTTGGTTACAGGTCTTTTATCATTTGCTGAAAACATACCAAATGCTGAGTGTTTTATGGCTGTGTGAGCATGATTAAAACTCAGAGTAAATGCTTACCAAGGCATTATTTTAATAGGTCCAGATCTTTAGGGAGAAGACTAATTCAATTTTAAAATAAAACATATTTTCTAGCTAGGCAGTAAACAAACAAAAAACCCCAAAACAAAACCCACCATTTCTTAGATGTCACCTTGGAGATTCAGCAAACCAAGCCAAGGAAATGATTCCTGATAGAAATCACTTATTGCTCAGACTTACAGCAGTGGCTACGTTTACAAAGGAGCTGTACTCCACAGCTCTGTACAGGCTGGGGGAAAAAATAGCTATTTGCTGCGGTCAAGGTCTCTGTTCAAAGTCCGATAAAAATGCCGATATGCTGCTTTAGTAAGTGCTTTCGTCTACTTACTTGCGTAATACTTGGCAGCTATACATTTCTAAGCAGTCCTTGACGTGGGAGAACTGCCGACTCTGCTCTGTAGCCTTGCTTTTGCTTTTCTTTGTGCCTCACCCTACTCAAATTGCAGCTAAATAACTCTGCTTTTGCTGTATATATCTTCTTTTTTAAAAAAATAGGTTGGTATTCTGCCATGACTATGAGAAGCTTGCTTTCTGACCATAGCCACTATGTCGAATCCTTTCGTCTGTTCCTTGAGAATTCGACGGAGCATCAATGCATGCTGGAATTCATTCAGAAGAAGCTGCCAGGCATATTATCAAGGTAAAAGCATCAGGCATCTTATCAGAAGGACAAACTATTGATACGCTCTGGCATACATGATGTTTGTTTGTGTGTGCAACAGAGCCAGGTTTGCAAGAACTGCTGGAGAGTATCAGACTGCTGTTTCTGTCCTTCCCTCCCTCCCCCCTTCTCTAGATCTTTAATAATGTTTTACTTCAGACATCCCAGTAGAAAGCTTTTCTTTGTGATAGGGTTTGCCTAGCAGAAGACAGAGATCTCATTGCTTGCTCTCATGTAAATATAGCTCAACTTCCACGTATTCATATACAATAATGAACAGCAATCATGATTTATCAGGATGTACTTTCCTTTGCAAAACAAAAACAAAAACCCTAATAAAAAAATTTAACCTCATTGATGATTCATGTGTGGAAGCTAAATAAACACATGTGGCGTATTGGCTTAGGGGACCTGAATGCCCTAACCACAACAGTTTGTCTAAGCATAGTATCCTAGTATATGGAAGCCCCATAAAAGTGTGCACTTTGGAACAAACCACTGAGACCCAAACCTGCTCCTGTCTTCATAACTCCACCTTTTCATTTATATAGGCCCATCCTGGGTTCTGCTAAACTAGACCAAGACCATTTCTGGGTTCTGCCAAACTGAACTGATTGAAAATTTCTGAAAATGAATGTCATTGAACTTTTTGAATACCTACTGATCTCTTACTGTTTTAAAAAGATGCACTCTTTACCTCCTCAGTATAGGCAGTGGAAAATCTACAATCAATATTCTAAGTGTTGGTGGTGGGGCAGGTAAGTAAAGTATGAAGACATGCATTTAATTATTAGAACTACGGGTTTATATTATGTATATAACAGATTATAATTAATTTAATTTACAATTTAGTTTCCCAGGTAGCTGTCAATAAAACCAGAAGCAATAGGATTATCTCTACAATATGTTGTATGGAGGAAAAAGACACAGAATGACATCCAGTCTAATCCTTTGTATATTTACAGTTTTAAGGTTTTACATTTTGTATGTTGAGACCTAGATGGTGAAAAGTGGGATGTGGATGTGTGTGTGTATTTGTTGAACCCACTGAAATTAATGGGTTTGATGTACCTAATTTTGCATTGGATCAGGGTGATAGGTAGGAACCATGACGGTGTCCATCATATCTGACTTGGGATTCCAACTCTCTTTCCATTACCAAATATTATACTAGTTGACCAAATGTCCAGAACACAAAGAGGGGATATGAAAAGGACTGACTGAGCATCCCCCACTAAAAATTGTATGTTGCACTGTGACTACGATCTTAAAACAGCTTGATTTGTAAATTAATCAACTTGTGCCATTATTGTCTTATCAGTAGCGGTGAGGGCAAAGAGAATAGGCAAACATGGGGAAGAGACAGATAAGTGAACCATTTAATACACTATTTTGTTTTCTGGTGATAACCAACTAGATATCAGATCACACTATCCTTCAGGGTGGTCATACTCATTTGCTGCAGAACTGTGCAAGCTTTTTTCAATTGTTTTTTTAAAAAATAAATAAATAATGAATTTAGCAAAGAAAGAAGAAAAAGAAAGAAAACCAGAGAGGGGAAAAAAAAGGAAACCCATCAGCTCACATTAAAAAAACCAATTACTATTAACACATCCATCTTTATTTTATCTAAATATTTATAAACTGCACTTTTGTTTTTTAAAAATACAAGGAGGTAGTGTTCACCATATGAAAGTTACAATGATAAAAAAAACATTTAAAAAAACCATCCATAAATACAGGTTGGCCAAAAGAAGGTGTGCATTTCAGAGGCCTGTCTAAACACAATTATAAGGTGGATTTGTAAGAAGGCAGGAATGATTCCTGCTGAACCTTTGCTAGTAGGGCATAGTAGTAAAGGCTCACTCCCTAGTAAAGGCTAACCAAAACCTCTGGGGGCACGAGGAGCCACAAGAAGTGCCACATCAGAGGATCTCAGTGATTGAGGTGGAGCATTAAACACATAAATTAATACAGACCATCCAAATGTCCAAACAGGTATTCACACAAAGTTAGTGTTTACAAGAAATGTGCTCAAATTTAGCAGGGGCAGCAAGGTCCTCAAGACCATTGTGAAACAGAAGGTGGGTGATCGTCCTTCCAAGCTTGAAGTAGAAATGTTTTGGTGAGGGAGGGCTCACAAAATCCACTTTTGTCGCCCTGCTATTAATACCCATGCTACGGGGCCATAATTAAAAAGTACATGGATATCTGCACATATCAAGGTTTTTGCTACTACACAGTCACTAGTTTAGTGACTGAACAACCCTGACAGGGAGCCCCACTTGTTCTGGGAAACAGCTCTACTCACCACAGTGTGACAGCAGGTACTATGGAGTCATGTATCTGCCTGCCATGACTGTTAGCCATACATAGGCTTATTCTCCATTATTTTAACTAATCTTAAAAAACAAACAAGCTCAGGTGTGCTACCAAAAGGCAGCTATCCATCAGTCTTAGTGCAGTGTTATCATTGACTCTTGGTATGAGAAGCACCCGACAGTAAAATGCGTAAAAGCAGCGTCTTTTAGACAGTCTCACTATAAGTGGCAATAACTAATAGTGAGAATGTGTTATGCCAGTCCATAAAGAAAGTACGCCTTGTTTTCACCCTTTATCTTATTAATGTTGCCAACTCACACCCTCCAATCACAAAAGGCATTTGCTGTGCTATAAAACAGCAAATGTGCCATAAACAATCCATTTCCTTGAAAAGTTTAATTGGAATCTTAATGGTGAACATAGTGATAGCCTTTTTAAGGTAATTGTATCGGAGAGCTTAAATAATTCCTATAGCTTAATTTGAAAGTTGTTGATAGTGCAGGCTGCAACATATTCAGCTCTTGAATCCCCCAAAGCACTTGTTTGCATATAAACAACTAACTGAACTCAATTAAGGTCGTAGATTAAGCTACAAATCAAAGGGGTTGGGGGAAGGGGTGGTTTATAATAACCTGGTAGGGGTGGTGAGTTGATTACTTGTGAATGGGGAACGATACAACAGAAATATGACTTTTTTAAATTTGGAGGAACAGGTTTTTATATCGGTACAGAGGTTGTTTTTTTTAAAGGAAAGAATAGTATTTGTACAAAAGGCACAGGAACTTCTGTATGCTTAGAATTAAGGACCAGTGTGCTTCTGAGCACATGCTCAGTTCATGAATTTGCTTACAGGATCAGAAATGTTCTCATTGTTAACACACACACACACACACACACCGCTCCTGGTTTCCCCTCTACCCCAAATATTCATTTCAACAATCTTTTTTTTTGGGGGGGGCCTTTTGTTGCTGTTATTTTAAAACCATTGGGAGTCAGATACATTGGTCAACAATATGCAACAAATAACTCTACCAGATCAGCCTTCTGCCAACCCATCTACATTGCTAAACCAAGTAATATATGTCAAGTCCTGTTACAAATACTGGCAGCTCTCCCTCTCATTCTCTCCCCCCCCCTTTTTCTTTCTTGTGTCTTAGGAGAAGTTGACCTTCAGATTCTTGCAGAAGTACGGGCTAAATATCCTGGAGTCGTCATTTGTAACGATGTGGTAGAACCAAGTGCTGAACAAATAAGTGCCTACAAAGGTATGAGCTTCGCAACCCCAGAGTCGGTCACGACTGGACCTAATGGTCAGGGGTCCCTTTACCTTTTAAGCTTTCTTGGTTTCATTTCTTAAAAAGCAGAGTAAAAAATAATTTGCCAGATAATTTGTCCTATCTGTTGTATCATTCTCATCCCGGGAAGTAACACTTCCAGGGAGCATTCATTCATCCCAATTCTATTGCAAGGGAATGGGATAGCTATTGTTTGGTAGCATGGCAGTGATCCAGAGGAGAGCAACAATAGCTTAATCCCTTCTGAAGCAGAAGTGGAAACAGTACAAGCGAAGAAACTTGCTGCTGAAACTAAGAGGAATAGACTGCAACTGCCTGAAAAGTTAGGTTTGAACTCACTCCGAAGTGAAGGGCTACTTCATATTAATTTCCTAGATGGATATAAATGCACACAATCTGTATGTTGCCAGTTCTGATGAAAGCACATGTCTGTTTTGACACGTGTGTTCATAATGGGAAGCTAATTTGTTGTATACTTGGCAAAGTAGGCGTATTTCCATTCCATGTGAAGTGGACCTGAGAGATACTAGCTCTCTTCAGATGTTCAGCCTGACCACATAAGCACCAAAGGAGAGTTGTGGGACTGGAGCATGCAGGCCATCCCTGACCCCCAGTGTCCCTGTGTGTGCTAGCCCCACTTCTACTCCTGACTTTTGCAGGAGTGGGACAGGGCCAGCACTCAAGGGAAAGCTGGAGACAGGGCTGCGGGTGTCAGTGGCATAGTGTGGGTTGCCAAGTGCCCAGGGCTGTGCAGAGGGGTGGGGTGGGGATAGAAATGGATGGAGTACATTCAACTGCCTAACAGTGTCCACATCACCCAGCAGATCGCAGCCACAGAGATAAGAAAAGAAGACTTGTTCCATAGTCTGGAGAGGTCACCTTCCTAGAGAAGCCTTTTTCAATGCAGCCCAGTGATGGAAGCGCACAGCTGTATTGAGGCAGCACTGGGTGTTGAAATTTTGTGCCCCCTAACATTTTTGCACCTGGGACAACTGTCCCTGCAGCCCTCCACTCCCTACTACACCACTAGCAGAAGAAGCTACATGTTTTTGTCCTCCCATGGTCAGGCTGAACACCTGAAAAGGGCCATTGTCTTGTGGACTTTCTAAACTTCTTTGGTCATTAGCCCAATTCTGATTTTTGGCATAGGGAAGCCACATTGACAGGCATTAGCTTTCTTTCCCTACTCTTCATTTCCTGATGTCTCCTCACAGACTGTCTAGTGATTAAATAGAAGCAGACTGAGTCAGATTATTTTCAGTGCTGATATGGATTACTGCTCAATGATCTCCGAGTTTAAAATAGCAAATTAGATTTGAACTGTGGTCGTATAGGCTAGAGACTGATAAATGGAAGAGAGGACTGAGCAACAGCCACAGCATTCAGAAGTGGTAGCCCATGTCCAAGAAGGAATGCAAAGGAAGAGAGATAAGTGCAGGTGGAACATTTCTCATCTATTTCACAGGGATGTATCCTAATCGGAGCCCTGAAAAATGTAAGACTTTGATTTGATGTGCTAAGTTAAAGCTGTACCAAAGCACAATGTGTTTGAATGCTATGTGTATACAAAGCCCTTAGAGCACCTCCAGACTGTCAATTTTTTCAGGTGGGATTCAATTATATTCTGGCAAATTCAGGCTGTATAATTACAGTTGATTGGGAGGTCTTGTGCAGCAAACCCCGCTCCCCCCCCCAAAAAAAATTGGACTTTTTGCTATAAGGAAAGTGACAGGGAATTGCATTGGAAAGTGAGGGAATAACACTTGCTTTGATGCCAAATAATCTCTCCAACAAATCACCAATGCCACCTAATCTCCCTGAACACTAGGGCCTTTCCACACTCTCTGTTTATAGTGCTGCTATAGTTGCTGTTTGATCCAATGTAAAAACTGAATTTGGAGCTGATTGTTTGCACCTTTGTTCACATTAGAGAGTGAGGGTGGGGTTTTCCTTTGCACACTAATGGTTATTTCTGTGAGAAAGGTTTTTTGGCTGTAGTCACACCCCTTGTGTATCCTTGTGCTCCCTCAGCCATTAAATGTCAGCGCTGAAAATGGGGATAGCAATTTTGTAGCTTTTTGTGTGTGTATTTAGTGTCTAGTATTCCCGAATCCTATTATTGTGGGAGTACAGGAAATTAGAAGACAAACAATGGGTCAACCTGAGCTATGGTGAACCTGGTTATTGTGATGAAATTTTGTCTGCAGCTAATGATTGTTTTCACAGGCAGTACTTTGACTCAGCACCATCATTCCTATCTGCCATCTCTCTCCTATTCAAGCTCACAAATTCACAGTTTGCACTGGCCAGAGGGAAGCAGCATGAAACAGACATCTCCCAAACCACTCAGCAGCCATCCCCTCTACATAGAAACCAGGGCAATTCTTGCACACATGCTAATAAAAAATTATTATTATTATTATTAGTCACACAAATGGATATATTGAGGATCCATTCCAGTTTTTTCACAAAAGTCAGATTTCTTGTGGTAGATTTTCTTTTTTTAAGTACAGTATTCTAGCATGCTAACTGAATAATGATGACATCATGTGACAGAGAGTATGCAAAAAAGAAAAAGTCCAGAAAACAAAGCCACTATATCACTATAAATGGAAATGGCCCTTAGAGCTATTAGGGGACTTTCTGCCAAGAAACAGTGGAATCAAAGCTTAGAACAGGGTTCAAGTAGCTGTGAAACAGGTTCCTGGTTTTCTTTATTTCTGATAACTTTTGGGGCACCAAGAAAGGAGCATGACATATGTCATGCTTTCAGCCTGGGATGCTAGAGAAATAGCAAGTATTTTCTGCAAATCAGGAAAGCACAGCAACCACTTCTGTCATTCATTGCTCACAGCTGTGCTTAATTCAGAACTGATTTCATGAGGAGTTAAAATGAGGCACAATGGGGTTAAGTTTCCTATGGATTCTGGGGGATCAAAAGCCAATTGCATAATATATGAAAACACCTTATACACAATCTAGCCACTGTTATCAGTGGATATCAAAAGTAGCTGCCATTGGGCTTATCTGCTTCAATTTCTCCCATGGAACCAAGTAACATTTTATGCTGTTTCACTTTGTCCAGGTAGCTTTACTCTACAATCCAGCCATTTCTTCTCCATTGCCCTGTAAATCTAAAATGTGACCCTGGAATCTGAGTTCTAGATATAAAATAGCAAGTATATATAAGAACATATTTTTCTCCTGATTGGATTCATCAAACTACTTGAGAGGATGGAACTGGGGACAGATTCTGAAACAGCCGTATGATTTATGCTGCTCCAAAGTGTTCCTTCCACTTTGCTTTGCTCTGTGGAAGTGAGTGAATGGAAGGTGGCACCTGGCAGCTCAAGACTGGTCCCGCCAGTGACACCAGCGCGATGTGTTTTTTAAAATATATGGCTTTCAGCTGCTTTAAAATTTGAAATGGAAATTTATTCTGTATTTGCAATTGAGATAAACTGTGGAGCTATCATATTTTAGAACGAGTAGCAAAGACAGAAAACCTTGAGAACATAAAGTTTTCTTGGCACAAGGAGACTTCGCTGGAATATGAAAGTCGAATGAAGGCCAGCAAAGAGGTGAAGAAATGGAACTTCATCCACATGATCCAGGTAAAGGGAAGCCTCAATTGTGGGACAGTTGTGGTTGTTGGGACAACCGTTTTCCTCATGCTACCTTTCGTGTGCGATAATACCGCTTGAATGTCAAAGCAGTGCTCCAGTCCCTTGTATTCTATAAGTTTGTTCTGTTCACAAGCAATAATATATTTGTTCCAAACAATCAAGCCCAAAGAAAACAAAGAATGCATGCAGAACTTGCTGTAGAATAATAAGTACAAAACTGCTTTGCATTAGCTAGCGCATCTGGATAAAAAGTGAGTAGAGCTTAATATTGCTGCACCCCTTTCCCCTCAGCTATGCGGTTCTCTGGCACAAAACTCAGTTCCACCCCCAGCTTCCCTGCTTCACCTCTCTCTCTGAGGTCTACCGCCCTGGGCTGGAATTCTGCTAGGTATTTTAAACCCTCTATTTTCACTGCCACCACCAGTTACAAGAATAATTGCCATCTCTAGCATAGCCAGTCAAGAGGCAAGTGTGTATGATACAACAATATCAATAACAGAATAAAATATTGCAGAATTATTCAGTGCACAGAAGCATGCGGTTTCAGTTACGTACTTTCTTAGATGCTGCTTTAATCCATAGAAACACCTCTACCTAACTCCATGCTTCTAAATGTACCTAAGCAAAATCCGCCCTCCCCATCTATCCCAAATGCTGTCCCTACTTGCTAAATCTCTCACAATCTACCCAACACTATCCATCCAGTTCTGAGGACCTTCTGAGGGACCTCAATGTGAGAAGTGAAGTTACAAGGAACCAGGCGGAGGGCCTTCTTGGTAGTGGAACCTGCCCTGTGCAACACCCTCTCATCATATGCCAAACACAAACTTTCTGGAGACATCTGAAGGCAGCCATGTATTGGGAAATTTTTAATGTTTGATGTTTTGCTGTGCTTTTATTATGCTGGAAGCCACCCAGGGTGGCTGGGGCAACCCAGGCAAAAGGCTGGGGTATAAGTAACAGATTATTATTATTGCTATTAATTCGCCAACCTTCTCCCACTACTCACTTCCAATATTACAAGCACACCCCATCCCCCTCCTAATCCAATACTGACCCTAATCCATGTACTGTCCTGAACCCCCGGCCTACCTGGCAGCAAGTCAGTATGTCAAGTCCAAAGTCCAAGTCCAGGGACCGAGCCACACAAGCAAATTCGAAAGCTCAGGAAATGCAGTCCAGTGTTAATCCAAGTAGCCAAGTCTGAAGTGCTGTAGTCAGAATACAGTTCAGAGTCACACCCAAAGCACAGTGCAGGAAAATGCAAGTCAAGGTCCAGCAACATGGGGAGTTGAGCAGAAACAATGCCTCAGCTCTGCTTCCCTTTTCTACCTTGCCTGCTGATTGCAGCATCTGGGCTTGATGAGGCATGTGACCCTCACCTGCTCTAAGCCTACTCTAGCTGAGGAATCACACACCTCCTCCCAGAGCTAATGAGCTCCACCTGGCCAGCTATGGGCCCTTGCCTGCCTCAGCCTCCTGCAGCTCCCCATACCTTAGAGCAGTGATGGCCAAACTCGGCCCTCCAGCTGTTTTGGGACTACAATTTCCATCATCCCTGACCACTGGTCCTGTTAGCTAGGGATGTTGGGAGTTGTAGTCCCAAAACAGCTGGGGGGCTGAGTTTAGCCATCACTGCCTTAGAGCTGTGTTCATGGAGACAGGGGCTCCTCTGGCTCTGGTGATAGGTCCTGCTGCTCTGGTTCCTGTGCACTGATCCACATCTCCACCCCATCCTCCGTAACCCTGTGAATACTTCCTACACCAACCTCTCCTTGCCCCTCCCCACCTTGTCCCAGTGTGTTCCAGTCCTGGCTACACCCCTCGCCAGGATCCCCTCCCTCCTCTCCATTGTCCTGCGGGTTCATGATGCTACTTGCCTACACATTTAGCACAATACATACTACCATATACTCCTTTACTGTAGTTGCTCTAATGTGTACGCAGTATCATTTAGATACACATCACAAATACATTTTTGGTTTGGGTATATTTGAGTCATTTCACACAAAAATGGGAGCATTCACGGAAAAGCTTCAGTGAGCTCATTTTACATTAAAGTGATTCTTATATTTTCTAGATGCTGTATTATGTAAAAGACATCCCAGCTACTATCAGGTTTTTCCACAGCCTCTTGGAACCTGGGGCCAAGCTCCTTATTATTCTTGTTTCAGGTAAGTACTGAGCTCAGTAGTTCAGGCATTGGTAATCTCAAGATTGAATTTCTGCAATGCGCTCTATGCAGAGCTTACTTTCTGCTTCCAGAAAGTGCAGTTAGCGCAGAATGCTGCAGTGCAATTGCTGACAGGAGTGAGGCCCACTCAACCTATAACACCTCTGCTCAGAGATACACACTGGTTGCCATTTTCTTACCAGGCCAAGTTCAAGGCGTAACTACAGGTATATAAAGCCCTAAAGGCTTGGAACCAGTTTACTTGTGGGATCACCTTATCCCATACTTGACCGCTTTAATCTGTGAAACTGGCGCTGTTCCACATACCACATAATACTCATTCTGCAGTTTTAAGAAATCAACCTTTTAGTGCGGCAGTGCCTACACTTTGGAACTCACTGCCTATTGATATCAGGCAGGTGCCTTCGCTGCAGTCTTTTTGGCAACTGCTTAAAACATTTTTGTTTAGGCATGGCTATCCAGACATTTAGATGCTTACATTCCCTCCCACTCCCACCCCCTTTTACTGTTAATTATCTTTAAATGCTTTAAGTGTTTTTTGTTGAATTTTAATATTACTTGTAAACTGCTTGGGGGTATTATTACAATCAAGTGGTGTATAAATTTTGTTAAATAAATAAATACTACCAAGTACATTTCTTACACAGTTAAAGGTTGTAATTTAGACTTGTATGTGATTACCTATGAATGTGTCTGTTTTCATAATGGAACACCAAGGCCCAGCTGCTTATACAAATCTATTTCTCAGAGATTAAAAATACCAAAATTAAATAATAATACAAGTTATATAAAAATTTCTCATATTAAAATGCACCATACATACATTCTGATTTAAACAATCTTATCTATTTATGCACTCCTGTCCCAGTCTTCAACACACTTTTGACCACATAAATAGACTATTATACATGTGTATCAATTGTACACACCCAAACTCTACTTTTTTTTAAAAAAGGATTTTAAAATACTTGTGTTAATCTGCCCTTTCAGCCTCCTCCTGCGCATGTTTTCTTGGATATAAGTCCCACTGAGCTTAATGGAGCTTACTTGGAGTTTAATGGTGCATAGAATTAGCATGTCTATTCTGTAGCATCATGAACAGCTTCATAGATTAATGATATGCAATGAGTTCGAGAAATCTATGCAATATTTCTTCTGGTATTGGTACCAAATAATTAGCAGCTAAAGTGGAAGTTAATCTCCTTTGTGGGGAGATACCTGTTCTCATGATGTGGGGGAGGTCTGTCTTTTTCTACCTTCTAAACAAGGTGTATCTCTTACAAACACATTTATTTATTACAGTTATGATATGCAGTGCTTTTTTTCTAAAAAATAATGTTTAGGGGTACTCTCCTTTTCCTACTCATATTGAAATTCTGTCCCTCAATGAGGCCAAACATAGATTCACAAAATGTTTAGGGGTATGCGTACCCCTGCATCCCCCAGAAAAAAAGCACTGATAATACGTTATAATATAAAACTGAGGTAAGATAACCCTTTTTTCAAGAATGGAATTCAAAGCAGGATTTCTAGATTCCAGGCACAGAAGCTACACATGTTGAACCTCTGCAAAATTGTTGCATTGTGTATGAGTCAGTTACAATCTAGAAGAGTGATGGGGAATTATCAGTTTATTCAGCTAGGAATGGGGAAGGAAGAGTTTACTTTTTATCCCTGAATTGCACCGAGCCATTGAGTTAATTAAGACTGTCGCTTAAGCACTACAGGGGAAGTAAGGCCCATTCAATGCAGTGGATGTTTATTCTGAGTAAACATGCACTGGTTTGTGTGTTGCCCTCATTAGAAGGTCTCTGATTCTTTGGATGTCATGGAATGTAATGGAGTTGTCTACCACAGAGATACGAGTTAATTATATAAACATTAGAATAATTCACAGAGTTATAAAATAGCTTTATAAAGTTCATAGCAGACAACAACAGCCCAAAATGTTCCATTAATTGCAGAATATCCCCGTTTCCCCTCCCCTAACTGCACACAAATGTCACAACAAATGTTGCAAACAGAATAGGCACTAAATCTGAAATCTCAACTCATGCAAGAAACCCAATTGTTCTTAATGAATCCATTAATCTGCTGCAGATTTTTCAGAATAGCACATGTCGTAACACCTGACTGCATGTGGCATTAAGTAAATCTCTACAATGGAGCTCTGTTGTGCTATTTTGCTGGCTCATTGCCCATGTTTACTGCCCATTTTGTTTAATATTGCGATACAGTGTTAAAAAAAAAAAAGAATCCCATCTTAGGCTGGTTGTATTTGACACCTGAATAAGAAAGTTGTGATCAAGTCAATTGCAAAATAGAATACCAGAGGAAGTGGCATTTATACGTTCATGTGGATATAGTACCGAGGCAGCAGAGCAAATTGAACAGATTACACACAGCAGGTTTCAATGCCTAATGGGCATCTTATGAGTACAACCAGCCAAAGTTAACCGTTTTCAAGTTCCACTGATTTCAATGGGCGAGTTAAACATGTATGAAAAACTCTTCCATTAAATTCAATGGACCTAGCAAGTGATTGAATAGCCTAGTTTGTGCCTGAAGTGTCCTATTCAGTTACAACAGTGGCATATTTTTTTCTAGACATAACAGATATGATTTTGTTACAAGTTCATGCCTAATTTTATCACTCATTTTGAAAATGTATATCTGTTTAATATTACAAATTTTAAAAAGGGGAGGATAGAATTCTTCACAAATGTTTGGTGCAGCTGTGGCTGCACTTTGCTCTTAAAACTGGGCCTCTAAACTGGGGGCTGCTTTTCCTCCATAAAGCTCACTGTGTGACTAAAATAATAAATTGGGTAGGGTTTATATAAATGGCTGCCTTTCTATCATAGGAATACGAAAAAAACCAGGAACACAGCAGCACACAATTGTGTGAATTACAGGGAAATGTAACTAAGAGCCATACATACATCACATTACATTGAGCATGGTTAAACTGTTCCCAGATTGCATTTTTTCCTGATTGCACATCGAAGATGGCATGTCTGCATGTTGTCTCCCCCAAATCCTCACACGTAGAATACGAGCATGCCAGGGAGAAGTCCCACCTAGCAAACCAATTCCCACAGCCATTTCAAAACCAGGAGATGTTGCAGTTCTGTATTTCAAAAGTAATTGGCTCTAGGTATGCAGGTGACACTGTGGGTTAAGCCACAGAGCCTAGGACTTGCCCATCAGAAGGTCAGCGGTTCGTATCCCCGCAACGGGGTGAGCTCCCATTGCTCGGTCCCTGCTCCTGCCAACCTAGCAGTTTGAAAGGACGTCAAAGTGCAAGTAGATCAATAGGTACTCCTCCGGCGGTAAGGTAAACGGCGTTTCCATGCGCTGCTCTGGTTCGCCAGAAGCAGCTTTGTCATGCTGGCCACATGACTCAGTAGCTGTAAGCCGGCTCCGTCGGCCAATAAAGTGAGATGAGCGCGCAACTCCAGAGTCGGTCATGACTGGACCTAATGGTCAGGGGTCCCTTTACCTTTACCTTTACCTTTACCAGGTTACAAAAGTAAACTTAAAATTAACTCCAAGAGAAATTTGAAAAGTTTAATCTACATTCTGGAAGAGGCTGAGGTACTGCATTTCACTGCATAATGGTCACCTCCGCATAATAGTCGCACCCCCTTTCTTCAGTCCCTAAAATCGGTCCCAAAGCATTCAGGGAATTTCTGAGCACCAAGGGAAGAACTCAAGGGCACTTTTGCTGCCGGGTTGGTACAGGATGCTGAAGCAAGGGAGGGCGTAACAGGGAGGGCTTGTGACAACTGTAGACCTCCAGTGAAACAATAAGCCCTAATGAAACTTAGATACTGATAAAAAAAAGTATGCTTGAGTCAGTGTCCACTGGTGCCAGAGAACGCCCAGGTCTCAGTTTGGGCTGTAAACCCGCCAGCTCCCCTTGCCTAGGGTAAGTTTGGCAAAGGAGATATAGAAGGGCAGCAGGGTGGGTTTGTGGCCCAGATACTAGGAATAATCAGGAGTGGAGATATGGATAGACATGAGCGGTAAGACAGGTGCAATGGGGAAGGGGGAAGGCTATCAAGGAAACCATGGGGTTAAGAGGAAGAGAGGCAAGGGAATAAAAGCACTAGACCAGGTGAAATAGGAAAAACAGCAACAGAAGAAACCATCTTTGAAATAATACTCCCACTTAAATAATACATAAAAGCAATTTCACCAATGTGACACCTGTGAAAGACTTGCTGTTCTTTGGCAACTCCTGTGCTTTTCAGCGGAGCTTGTCCATGTAGGAGTTCTTAGCAGATTCTTCTCGGTGTAAACTTTCCCCTACAGAAGTAATAGGAGATATTCATGAGAAACTGGGAGTAGAGGCTAAAAAGAGCAAAATTGTAAGGACACGGTTTAAAGGCTTCAGATCCTCCTACATTCTGCTTGTCAACAAGACCGAGGCAGCTCTGAAGAGTTATGTAGTGTTGTTTTTAAGATAATAGTCTCCCCACACATTCAGTTCTCAACAAAGTATTGAAAAACAAAAGTAGTGCCATATGTTGCATCTACAGGGAGTGATTATTTTAATGTGCCAGTCAGGTAGTGTATAATTGCTCCGTTCAGAAATGGTGTTGAGTCACAGAACACTGACACCAGCACATTTCCTGCAATTAGTGCTCTGCATTCATTTTCCGCCAGGTGGAGAAGGGAGGTGGGGGGAAATATACACAAATTTGTTGTGCGGCATCGATTCTAAACAGCCAGAGTGTTTATGTTTCAGAAAGAAACTGTTTAAAGATATACTGCTTTCCAAAAAGGCAGGCAAATGGCTTTATTAGCAATGGGGATTTGCAGTCATACCTCTCAGCAAGCCCTCATTAGTCTTGAATTTATTGCTTTCCTACCCAATGGGGCTGGTGGCTTTGGCCTTTTATAAATGATTCACATCAGAAATGCTGAATCATGCCACCAAGGGTACCAAATAAATGGATTAGCCTGAATTCACTTCCCACTGTTCTTGCATGTGGATATATATATATATATATATATATATATATATATATATATATATCCATCCATCCGCAGGATCTTATCTGTGTCCCTTATGCTAGTTTTTAGTAGATTTCTATAAGAATAGCTCCCTTGTCACAGTAGGATGCAATCTGACTGGCCTAAGGTTGCCAAATGTTCTTTATATTTTGAGATATCCCCTATTCCAGAACTTCACAGATGAGCAGAACATAATGGATGTCCCTTATCAGAGAATCTTGTCATTTCATACTTCTTGGAATAGACACCAAAGCTCTTTGATGTCTTGGGCTGCTTGCTTCTCTTTGGCCTGCTTTAAATCGGTGTAATTGTTTGTCAGTGGTCTGGCATTTCCTTGCAGCTTAGC